TAAGACATTTATACCATGGGGGTAGTGGTAAAAGCTTTGGCTGTTAGATCCTTTGTGAGGCATTGTATTTACATATGGAAGTGGGTTTCTGCCAGACTGCTGTCTGCTAGGAAAAATTACAGGAAGGCATGGTACCTGTTAGAGCCAAAGGCCATGTTTATGTTATGGCATTTGTGGCGGACACTTCAAAAGGAGAGACAGGAAAGATGCCAGGAAGACACCCCGCTATGAAAGGAGCCCGCAGCACATAATCCCGAGCTGCATGAGCTGTCCGGTGTGAAGGGGCTTCGACTTTGCATAACAGAGGCTCCCAACACCCAGAGCACAAGCCTCCACAGTGGCCTGACACTCATAGGTGAGGACCTATGGCCTTGGGTCTCCTTATGGGTTCTTTGCCCATATCTGCTGGGCCCTGAGTGAAGTGATGGTCCAGAGATACTGTCTCCTGATTTTTGAGGAAGCTACATTTCTGGGAAGAAATTTCAGCTCCTTCATAGGGTCATCTAAAGCTGTATTTATTTACTGATGTTTGGGGGAGGGGATGTTTTTTGATTTTTGTTTGTTTTTCTGGTTGGTTGGTTGGTTGGTTGGTTGGTTGGTTGGTTGGTTGGTTGGTTGGTTGGTTGGTTTGAGACAGGGTCTTCTTGTAGCCCCAGCTGGCCTAGACATCTGTAACCCTGGCTAACTCTGCTAGGATTAAAGGTGTAGGCCACCACTCCCAGCTGTTTTTTTTGAGGGACAGAGACTTGCTACAGTGATACTGCCCTTGAACTCAGTTTGTAACCCAAGCTGGGTTTGAATTTGAGGACAATCATCTTGCTTTAGCCTCCTGAGTGCCACCACACCTGACCAAAACTGAATTTGACCTGCTTTGCCCCATAAACATTATTCAGGTAGCAGAAAATGGATAAGAAGAGACGTATATGCATGTGGAGGTCAGAAATCAATCTCTGTGTTGTTCTCTGGAGCTATCAATTTTGTTTTCTTGAGACTGGCTCTCTCATTGTCCTGGGGCTTGCTGATTACTATAGATTGACTGCCAGGGCTCTGCCTGTCCCCACCTCTTCAGCACTGGGATTAGACACTCTGCCATGCCTTGGTTTTTAACATGGGTTTTGAGGATTGAGCTCAGGTGTTAATGCTTGCTTTGCTATCTTCCCAGCCACTTGCCATTTCTTTATAATGTAAAGTTTCTTTGCATTTCTAAGACCCTTGGGCCTGCCATGTGGGTGCTGGGATTCGAACCCAGGTCTTCTTCAAGAACAGTCAGTGTTCTTAACTGCTGAGCCATCTCTCCAGCCCCAAGCCTCATGAGTCTTAACCATTAGGCTACTATTGTCATGAAGAGCAGCAGCTGGTAACTTCTTAATGAACTGCCCAGGTTAGCCAAAACCTATCCTCCTCCTCATCTTACTCTTCCTCCTAAGCTGAAGTCATCCAGAAAAGAGAAGGGCTGGAAAGCACAGGCCTGGCTGGATTGAGTGGTCATTACTTGTTAGGGTGTTCTACTCTCAAATGGCCATCTGGCATTTCTCATTCTCGAAGTTTGAAGAACTCATGTTGCAGAAGCCTTTGGAGCATTTGTTGAGCTTAGGAACAAAGCCTGGCTGAGCCTGGGAGGAGAGAATTGCAGTTTAGTAAGGTACATGCTGTGTTTAGCAGAGAGCTCCACAGGATAACTCCGCCCAGCCTACTCTGTGCTTACCTCATTTTAATTGGGAGTTTCATTGTCTAGCTACAGCCTCTCTTCAGAAGACAATTGAGGTTTGTTCTCTGGGACCCCTGAGGCTCACCCCCCACCCCTGGAGTGAGACGGAAACACAGTACCCCACAACCCACAGGTTAGCCACTGTGGTGTTGAGTGTAAGCCAGGGAGCTTCCTTGTGACACTCATGTATCATGGGCTCCATCTGCCTTTATGGGCTTGTACTTTACCTGGAGAATGGAGCTTCTTCCCTTAGGTAGCCAGGCCCATGAATTAATAATGACTTGCCAGAAATGCTGAAAAGTACCACCTCTCTACCATATATTGTTTCCAAACATTCCTGGTGGGTGGCTCTATTGTTTTTGTTTGGAAAGACAGGATCCAAACACCAGCTCATTGACTTTCTAGCTGTTGTTTATCCACCACTCTTCCTGGAGCAATCAGGCACAAGGTCTCTTAAGCATAGTTCTGTGTGGCTACACATTTTGTTGGGTGATAGTTAAGTACACTACTAGCTCAGCTCTGTTCTCTGAATGGGATGCAAGCAGTCTGTGTCCCTTGAAAGCAGTAATGCTGTGGCGTATACTCTCATGATCTCATCTGTTCCACACCATTGATTGGAGCCTTTGGACCACAGCCCACCCATGGGTGCTCAGGTTCTAGGCTCCCTGAGCTGTCCATATCATTTTAATCTCTAAAACTAAATGTTATTTTATTACCACATAACATACACAGATCAAAACATCCAAAAGAGGGCCTACTCTGTTGATTCATAAGATGCTTGCCTGGCATGCATGAAGCCCTTGGTTCCATTTCAGGCACCAAATGAACCAGATGTGGTGACATTCACCTGTAATCTCAGCACACAGGAGGTAGAAGCAGAAAGATCAGAAATTCAAGTTCATCACCTACCTAGCAAGTTCAAAGTCAACGGAGCTATCTAAGGTCCTATTTTGGACGGGGGTGGGAGGAGGGGGTAGAGAAGACCTAGAGTAAAAAGTCTTCCCGCAAATTCCTTGGGTGTCCTTGCAGGCAGATTGTGTGTTTCTGCCCTACCACCAATGCTTTACATTTTTGTTCTGTTTCGTTTTTTGAGACAGGTGTCAATAAGCAGCCTAGCCTGGCCTCAAACTCTGTCCTTCTGCTTCCCAAGTGCTGGCACTGTAGGCAAATGCTACCATACCCAGCCCACCAGCACCTTTCTTATATGCAAGTGGTAGTCTCAGACTGGAGAGATGGCTCGGTGTGTAAAGCACTTGCTGTACAAACTTGACAACCCAAGTTCAGACCTTCAGAACCTGTGTGAAAACCAGATGGAATAGTGCAAATGTCTGTAATCCAAGCTGCCCTTACTGTGAAATGGGAGGTAGAGACAGGAGAATCACCTGGAAGCTCTCAGGCCAACTAGCCTGGAATATTCAGCAGTGAACAGCAAGAGAGGCCCTGTCTCAAACAAGATACAAGGCAAGGTTGTCCTCTGACCCCCATACACACACCCCATAGCACACACCTGCACTCACACAAAATAAGTGATGGTATATCTACTATAGGTACCATCCTGGCTTTATTAGTCACCTCAACCATAGGTTACTGATGGAGAGTTCAGCTGTGGGAGCTGTTTCCAGAATTGCTGTGATGCTCTAGTATAGCTAAGCAACATCTGACCTGCCCTCTCCTATGTACTTAACTTTTCCACCCTTGCTTCACATCCCCATTAGATGTCCCTGGTATCATCACATCCAGATCAGATGGGATATTCTGCTGCTGTCCACCCAAGTTTCATCAGTGTTGCTGTTATCTTTTGTCACACAAACCAGAAAGCAACTCCCCATCCTTCAAACCTCCTCCCCACATTCAAGCCTGCTGGGCCTGCTTTTTTAAGTTTCTCCCATGTCAGTCAACTTCCTGCAGGTCTTCATGGATCTTCATGGTCTAGGCCTCCATCCCTCTCAAAAGTCAGCTTCTAGCTGACTTTGAGCACTTAAGTCTCTGCCTCTGATCTGTTTTCTACACAGAATGATATAATAAAATCAAAATCATGTCACCTCTACACTTAACACATTTTGGTGGCTTGCTGGTACTCTAGAATCAATACCAAACTGGTCATTAGGTCCCGCTAGGCCTGTTTGCACCATCTGTATAATCTTCAAGTCCCCACAGCCTAGCTTTCTCTGCCAACATCTCCTGCCACTAGTCTATCTGGAGTGCTGTTGTCTTCTAGTTGTCATAGGCTCATCTTGCAAGTGTGTGTGTCTCTATGGATGTGTGAGCAGTGTGCATGTATGCAGAGGCCAGAGGCCAACCTTAGATGCCATACCATAGGAGCTCTCCCCCCCCCTTTTTTTTTTTTTTTAGTTGGTTTTTGTTGTTGGTTTGGTTTTTTGTTTGTCTTTTTTGAGACAGGGTCTTCCTATAACCCCAGCTGACCTAGAACTTGCTCTGAAGATCAGGCTGGCCTTACTCTGACAGAGATCCACTTGCCTCTGCCTTCCAAGTGCTGGGATTCTGGGATTAAAGATGTGTGCCACCGCACCCAGCTCTACCTTGTTTTTGTTTTGTTTTGTTTTTAATATTTGTTTATTAATTATTATTTAATGTATATGAGTATATTGCCTGCATGTAAGTAAGTGCACTCGTGCCGTGCAATGCCTGAGAGGACAGAAGAGGCCGTTGGATCCCCTGGAACTGGAGTTTAGGACAGTTGTTAGCTGCCATGTGGGTGCTGGGATTCAAACCCAGATCTTCTGCAAGAACAGCCAGTGTTCTTAACCATCTCTCCAGCCCTCTACCTTGTTTTTTTAAGTGGGCCTCCCTCTGTCTTAGAGATTACCAAGTAGGGCTAGACTGACTGGCCCTTGAACCCCAGGGATCCACCTATTTCTGACTCCCCAGTGCTAGAATTACAAGCACATGTGGGGGGGGGGGACAGTTCAGGAGCTCAAACTCGTCATTGACTGAGCCATCTCCCTAGCCCCTAAGGCAGTGGCTTCGTTTTTGTTTGTTTTTGTAAATGAAGTGAAACCTTGAAGGGTGACAAGCATGTTTATGAATGATAGGTACAGGAAATGTCTTCCTTAGCTTTCTTTGGATGAAAGGAGAGAAAACTGGCCTGTATCTTCTGTGCTTCTTGCCTCTCCTGCCATGCAGTACCTTTAAAGGCAGCCCTGCTCATTGGGACAGCAACCCTCAGAGACTCAAAGCCCTATGAAGTACATCTCTCAGGTATTTTGTGAACTTGAGCTTGGGTGGCACCCACTCACCAGGAGCTGTCTTTGTGTTTGTCCTTTGTCCCCAGGAGACCTGTAGAAAGTGTCAGGGACTCTGGAAAGAACATAACGGCCTCACCTGTGAAGAGCTGGCTGAAAAGGATGACATCAAATATCGGACATCTATGTGAGTAACGTGATGCAGAGCTGGCCCTTCAAGGGGCAGAGAGTGCTATGGAAACAGACAGCTCAAGCCACCCCAGCCCAGAGAAACCTTGGGCAGGGCCCTAACCCCAGAGCCCATTTCCATCTTTCCACAGCCTTGAGCTGTTCAGATGTGAGATAGTACCTATAAAATGTCTGGCTCATATGCATTCAGTAAATGTCACCCCACCCCCTTTTCCTTATTATCTAATAAATAAGCAAATGTGTCAGGGCTTCATGGGTGAGATTGCACTGATGTTGCTTCTATCTGTGTTATAGGATACTGGTGACCTCAGACAGTAAGTAGACTTGCCAACTTCCAGAATGCAAAAGGCTGCATCAGTAATTTTAATAACTGGTACTGTTTAGTACTCGCTGTGTGGCTGAGCACTTTCCAAATATTAACATATTAAAATAAAGTTGCCTAAGTGCTACAGAAGTCTGTTTCTCTCATGTAACAGTTCAGCTCTGCCAGGCTAATGGGTTGCTGTGTACTGTGAGGTCACTTGAGATCCAGGTGCCTTTATCCACTACCTCCCCACTCCCCAAGTGTGGTGTTTTCTGCATGGCTGTGCCTGAGTCCTGGAACATTTCCATCCCTGAATAGGAAAGGAGTAAGGAGACAGGTTGCCCAGCAGGCAGCTTTTCCTTAAGTTAGAAGTAATATAAAAATTATGGGGTCTGGAGAGATGGCTCAGCAGTTAAGAACGCTGATCGTTCTTGCAGAAGACCCGGGTTCGAATCCCAGCACTCACATGGCAGCTAACAACCTTCCGTAACACCAGTTCTGGGGGGAATCCCTTGCCCTCTTCTGACTGCCTCAAGCATTGCACAACATGGGTACACCTACACACATGCAGGCAATACATTCATACACATAAAATAAAAATAATAGCCAGGCGTGGTGGCACACGCCTTTAATCCCAGCACTCGGGAGGCAGAGGCAGGTAGATCTCTGTGAGTTCAAGGACAGCTGGGGCTGCAGGGAGACCCTGTCTCAAAAGACCAAAAAAACAAAAAAGAAGAAGAAGAAGTTAAATAAATAAATTATGTATATCACATGGGGACCACCTGGCTCCAAAGCTCGCACCAAATGTAGCCTCTTGGTGGGTGGATAGCTTTGTGTCCAGCTTAAATATGGAGAATAAGGAGAGGTTTATTGCTTAGAAAAATGAAGTGGGAATGGCATTTTGGACTTAGCCATCTCCTGATCTATGGCACAGGTAGGTCTGTTGTCCTCACTTGGCAGCTGAAACATGGAAAGTTTGAGGTCACACAGGTATTAAGTGGCAGAGCAGGACTTGACCTAGGCACATGGCTTCTTGGATGTGCTCTATGCCACAACTTTGATAGGCAGAATAATGACCCCCATGATGTCCTTTCTTAAGTGACAAGGATTTTTGCAGGTAGGTTTAAAGTTATGGACCTTGAGATACAGAAATTACCAAAATGGACTCATCAGAGCAGGGCGTGGTAGCACACGCCTTTAATCCTAGCACTCAGGAGGCAGAGGCAAGTGGATCTCTTGAGATATCAAGGCCAGCAGTCTGGTCTCCATGGTAAGTTTCAGGTCAGCTGGGGCTACAGAGAGACCCTGTCTCAAAAAAGAAAAAAAAAAACAGAATGGACTCATCAGATAGGTGTCTGTGGTCATTGAAATAAAATACCTTTCCTCGGGGCTGGAGGGATGGCTCACTGGTTAAGAACACTGACTGTTCTTGCAGAAGACCTGGGTTCGAATCCCAGCACCCACATGGCAGCTAACAACTGTCCGTACCTCCAGTTCCAGGGGATCTGACAGCCTCTTCTGTCCTCCTTGGGCATTGCACAACATGGGTGCACTTACTGCATGCAGGCAATACATGAATACACATAAAATAAAAATAATAAAATATTTTTTAAAAAACACCTTTCCTCTTGTGGTCAGATAAAGGTGCTGCAACTATGTACTCTGAGCCGGACTTGACCCCCTGTTGCTGCCTTTGAAGAGGGAAGGAGGGGCCCTGAGCCAAGGGGTCAGGCAGTTTCTAGTTAGGAGCATCCCTTAGCCTGCAGCCACCAAGCAAATAGAGACTTTGATCCTCAATGTCAAGGAGCTGAATCCTGCTAACAGCCCAGCTGGGAAGCTAGCAGGCTATGGCTGTTTCCCAGGGAGACTGGTTGCTTTGGAACAGGCTCTTTCTTCTGCTTCTGTTAGCCATGAAAACTTAGAGCATGCAGGACCTTCTCAGCCTGGTGGCCTCCTAGATCAACATATCAGAGTGGAGCGTCCAGTATAACGTGCATCACTTCCAAAATCCAAAGGGCCTCTCAAATGTGCTTTTGTGTTAGCGGAAGGAGGTGAAGACCCACAGCACAAGCTTGCTTTGGAAAGGCTGTCCTGACGCAGAATTGACCTCCAGACCACCAGGACTTATAGAGGTGACATGTGCCTTCATCTTCACTCCAGGGCTTTGGCTCCCACTGTTTGTCACCTGTGTCCCATATCAGTGCATCCTAGATCACCTGCTGCTTCTGTTCACCAGGTCAGATCTGTCTGTGTGTCATCTGAATCACAGACCAGTGTATTGTCCTGGTAGGTGACAGATAAGATCCTTGTCAGATGTTATCTACCATTGGACAAAGAATAAAAGCATTTTCCAGATTGGTAGCTGTGTACCAGTTGCCAGGAGCTGTTGATTACTCTGGTAAGAATAGCATCTGGAACTGCAGCTGCAATTATTTAGCACTTAGTTAGGCTTCATCAATGTACTGTTCTCCAAGGCCCAGTCTTCTCTACAGACCGCACAGAAGTAAAGAGCAATAGGAGGAGAATCAGCATTCTGCACCTTGAAGTTGAGTAGCTCCATCTCTAAGATACTTGGGAATTAGAGGTTGTCTTTTCGTTGTTGTTGTTGTTGTTTTCCCCCTTGGTCTTTTTGCTACAGGGTTTCCCTGTAGCTCCAGCTGGCCTAGAACTTACTATGTATACCAGGCTAGCTTCCATCTCACAGAGATCCGCCTGCCTCTGCCTTTCGTGCTAGGTTTAAAGGCGTGTGCCACCACACCAGGCTAGATACTATTTTTAGGTAGCTTTGACTTACCCCTCCTCACCCTGTAGCTCTTCCTCCACTGACCCGAGAACCAAATGATCCTGCCTATTGCCAAGTTGCAAAACTAAGAAAGGTCAGAGAAGACAAAGAAACCGAACATGCTCTGAAATAAGGCTTGGTATTGTCTTAAGAAACCGTTCTATCCTAGGCTTGGTTGCTCATACCTGTAATCCCAGCACTCAGGAGGCTGAGGCAAGAAAATTGCCATGTGTTTGAGTCTAGGCTGGGCTACACAGACCCTTTTCAAACCATACACTCCCCCCCCCCCAAAAAAAAGAAGAAATAAACTACTATGGGAGGCAGGGGGTATAGTTTTGTATTAGAGCATGTATCTAACTTGCACGAGGCCCTGGGTTCAGTTCCCATCAGTGTGGTACATTGAGGTAACAGGACCTTTAAGAAGCTGGGTCTACTAGAAGATAATTACATCATGGAAGCACTGCCCTTGGACAAGACTGATGTACTTCTCACAGAACCCAGTCAGTCCCATCAAAGCAGGCTGTTTTAAAAGAACAAGGTTACACTGCAGCTAGGGATGTAACTCAGTGGTAGAGTGCTTGCCTAGCATACTCAAGGAGAAGCAGGAGGACTGCCACAAGTTCAAAGCCAACCTTGACTACAAAAACTGAAAAAAAGAAAAGTGTGCAAACTTACAATTCCAACAGTGGGGAAGCAGAGGCAAGAAGAATCATGAATTCAAGGTCAACCCACATAGACCCACTGAAAAAGAGTGAAATGGAGAGCTTCCCATCTCACCATGTGATCTCTTCTACATGTTCCCCTACCACTGTGATCCCCCTGACCTGGAAGCCCTCACCACAACCAAGAAGGTATCAGTGATCAGTGTTATGTTCTTGAACCTCCAAAAATGTGAGCTAAATAAACTCCTTTATTAAGTACCTTGCTCCAGGTAGTTTGTTACAGCAATAGGAAATGGACTAAAATATACCTTAACTTCAAAATGGAGAAAACTGATAGCTTTTTTATTCATTTTTCTTTTTCTTACGAAAATAAATATTTAAGCATCCAGCTGGTGGTGTAGCTCAGTGATAAAGTGTTTGGCTAGATGTGTGAGGCTCTGACTGGGACATCCAGCAGCACACAGAAATTTCCAAACAGCCATAGTAGAAATAATAAAAAATAGATCCTCAAAGTTCATAGTACATTGTTGTATTTGCTTTTTCTATCCTCTTTCTTTCTTGTTTTAAACACCTAGTATTGTCAAGCAAATCCATCTTTGGCACCATGTGTTTCACCCCTAAATGCCCCTTACATAGCACCTGGCCATTATAATTAACAAAGTTGACAGTGAGCTGTGATGATGTCTGATGCCAGGTTCTGAGTCCCCCAGTTGTCTCAAGATAACTTCACACATGCTCCGTACTCAATGTGTTCAAATCAGGTCCAAAACAGGTGTGCTTGTCACCTGGTCTCACCACATAGCTCAGAATGGTCTCAAACCCCCAGTCCTCCCACCTCAGCCTCCCAAGTGCTAAGACTACCGCTGACTGTGCCACCATGCCTGGTTCCCAGCATAATTTGTCATATTGGTGAGTTATGAAGGAGAGTTGACCTATAGAATGCCTTCTGAAGTTGACTGCTTTTTCATGGTCTCATCAAACTTACTCTTCCCAGAATTTCCTCTTACTTAGAATTCCGTTCTAAAGACTTAAGGTACTGAGCTTCTCACAGTCCATCACACAGCAGCCATATAGTGTCTGCCTGGCCCACCATTAGATGCCTTTTAAACAAATGAGCATCAGGCTAGACTCATTGGATTTGATGGTTGCATGGCAAGTAGCTTTAAGAAATAATGGTGAGCTGGGCATGGTGGCACATGCCTTTAATCCCAGCACTTGGGAGGCAGAGGCCAGCCTGGTCTACGTAGTGA